AAATCCCAAATCCCAAATCCCAAATACTAGTAATTTGGGATTTTGGCATCCCAAATCCCAAATGATTTGAGATTTGGACAACACGTATAACAGACGCACGGAAAATAATGATCCCTTTCACTTTACACGGCAGTTTCATGACGCATTTAATGAAAATCTTACGAAGGCTATTCTACCTGGTCCTTACCTTTGTATGGATGAATCAATGTGCCAATGGATGGGCAAAGTTGATAAAGGCCCGTTCCAATGAAAAATTCTAAAGAAACCACATCCTATTGGATGTGAATTCAAAACCCTTGCAGATGCTCAAATTAATTTGTTTTTAAGACTAGACCCAGCGGAATCTTCGAAATGTGTTATCAAAAAAAAATTTTCGGATCAAATACCTGGCAACCGTCGTATCTATGTTAAGATTAGTAGAACCATGGTTTCATAGCAGTAGAACAGTTATCACTGATTCATGGTTTGGTAGCACCGACGCATGCATTTCTTTATATAATTATGGTCTTTATTCTATTCTACAAATAAAGAAGTGTCATTACTGGCCCGGAAATATTCCTTATGATATTACCGGTGCTCTTGAAAATACTTATGGATCATCCATTAGTCGAACTTGCAAAATAAATAATGTTGATTTAGCCGTATATTCAATTCGTAACTGAAAAGATATTGTACTGCTTTCTAGTTGCTCTACAACTACTCTTGGAACAGAAGTGAATTGGTATATTAAGGGTTCTGGTGATGTAAAATTCCGTCAGCCTATTGTATTTGATGAATACAATAAATTCAAGTTAGCTGTAGATATATTAAATAATTTACGTGATAATGCTTTTTTATATCACGATGTTCTTGTCTCAAAACGTTCCGTAGATCGTATTTTTGCCTTTTACCTTTCAGTTGTGAAAGCAAATAGCTTCTCTGCATATTGTCAGTTTGTACTGGGAAAGAAAGACATGAAACACGTTGATTTTTGTAAGCAACTAGTAAGATCGATCTTTGAGTGTTATTCCGACCAAACAATCACTGATCGAGCTAAAAAAAGATGAAAAAAAGACTTAGATGATTTTGAGCATCATCTTACCAACCTTAATAGTGACCCCACAACCTCGAAACTCAAAACAAATATGTTCAACGCCAATGCAAAGTATACCTGCCACCCAAATTCAAAATCCAAATGCTGAAATCCCAAATGCCGAAATCCCAAATCCCAAATCCCAAA